GCTTTTGCATCGCTGGGGATACCCCTCCCAGCATGCCAACCGCAGGGATACGTACCCCTGTGTGAGCACAAGCAGGACGGCACACACAAACCGTAACAGTGACAGCCCTTCACACACAGCCTAATGGCCTTCCTGAGATGCGCTTCCCCCTTGGAGCCAATCTGCTGATACCTGAGCCTAGACTGTGACATGCTCTCATTAGCTGGCAGAGTTCCTCCTTGTTTAGCAGGAGATGGTTTCCTGACCCCAAATGACACCTTAATCTACAAACGCTGACTTTCCCTAATTGCATCTTGACAGAGAGACAGGCAAACCCCTCCTTCCCCCTTCAGGGACTGTCATTTAATTAACAGGCAGGTATCTCTCAGGATTTACAGCCCAGCTCTAAGCTGCTACTCTCCCTACGCAGTAACTCAGGCCTATGACAGCTCACTCCATTTACCTCTGCATTTCGATAACCACCTTTCTGCTAATCCCTTTGTATGCCACCTTTCTGGACTTACCTCTCATGGACCCATGGAAAGAACCGTTAATCAAATGAACAGTCCCCATCTCACTTTTCATTCACTTCCTGGCTGCTGATCTCAAATGTCTGTGTTGTAGATGGCTTCACAGCAGAGCAATACCTATGCTGGCACCATTACCAGCTTCTAGTTTAATCCAACTCTCATATCTGTCCTACAGACATGACCAGAGATAGCACACATGAAAGAGAGAGAGAGATCAGAATCAAAGACGTTGGGGCTGGCTGGATATCAAGAAGCATTTAGTCTGTTCCTCCTTCACAATCTGGGATCACGTCTCCACAACCTGTTCTTGACATATGTTTTCTAACAGGTTCTTAAAAAAAAAAAATCCAGTATTGGAGACTCCCACAAATCCCAAGCAATGCTTTCCAGTGCTTCCTGCCCTCTTGTTAGATGTCTGAGAGCAAGGGGGAGAACAATGTTGAAAGACCGTCTTGCACATCTTGCCCAGATGGACATAGCTTCTGGTACTTGGGGCCATACCATCTGTCCTGCTGGTTGTGAGAAGCAGATTCATTTTTACTTTGGTTGTGGCTTTGTTTCCATGGTGGGTGAAGGGGTAGCAAATGGTGTCTGTCCCTTACAACTGTTTTTATGGAGCACGCTAGAATCATAGAATCATTTTGGTTGGAAAAGACCTTTAAGAACATCAAGTCCAACCATTAACCTAACACTGCCAAGCCCACCACTAAACCATGTCCCTAAGCACCACATCTATATGTCTTTTGAATGCCTCCTAGGATCTAGCAAAGTCTAAAGAAAACCACTGTATTACTTGAATGTGAGTGGCTGAAGGACAAACCCAAGACCCCTGGATTTTGATGCATCGATCAGTAGTCTCTGAGTTAACCGCCATATTTTGAGAGCTCAGCTTGGAGATGATCAGACTATTTCAGATCAAGTACAGCTCAAGTGAAGATAACAACAACCAAACAATCTGTGCTTAGGGAGCTATACACGCAAGTGAGCACTCGTGCCCTCACCTTTGACTCCACATTGGAAAGACCAGTGCTGCCATGGGATTGCCCATGCATATTGCCACAGATATCTCTGTCTTGGCAAATTGCTACCTCAGTCCCTTAATGACTTGGTAGAGAGGAGATCACACAAAACAGCTGGGCAGTTGCTGACCGGGTGCGTATTCCCTGTCTGATAGTAGCCAGGATCTCTGCAGATTTGGTGTCTTCTCCAGCTTTGTGACTCTACAGTGCCAGAGGAAGCATCCTGCTGAGCACCTCCAGTGATGGTGTGTGTAAACTGGCCTCATGGACAAAGGTTACTGGATACTCAATAGACATGAGACATCCAAGGGCAACCGAAGTGGGAACTAGCAGGAACTACAGAAGAGCTCTGCTTCAGCACTTCTGCTCCTCAGTAAATACCTTGTCTTTCAAACCTCTGCTCCTCTGCCAGTGAAAGTAAAACTTGAGGTCAAACTGGAGGAAGGAACAACTGGAATTCATACAATTAATGTAGGACCTACAGCATAACATTCTGCCAGCTAAGGCTGCCCAGCCTGTTACCAAACAATGCACAGACAATGTGTATGTTACATTAGCTGAAAAAAAACAAGTGTGGTAGAACTGAGTGCACTTAAAGTCCTGCTCTTTCCCCATCGCTGAGCATTTCTTAGTTCCTCAATCTTTCCTACCCACCCACAGGCTGGAAAGCAAAAGGGGAAAAGGGCTGGATTGCAGCAGAGGAGACACCAAAATGCACAGACAGCACCCTGGTATTTCAAGAACTGTTGTCACTGCAATTATCCATGAGAGGTTTTATCCTGAACTTGCAGAAGTGGAACTAAAGCCCAGGGAGGAGTAACAAGAGGCTTCGGGCCATGCTGGCAGTCAGGAGCAGAACTCTGAATCTCCGGAGCCGGCTTTGCCTGTCTGTGATCAAAGACCTTGTGTGAAGCTGCAAGGTTTAGGAGAAGGATAAAGAGAGCGAGAATAGCTGCTCCACAGTGAGGAACTCACTGCGAGTCTTTTAGGGAGCTGGCATTGCTGCATCCATCACAGTAGAGCAAAGCTATAATGAATGAGGAATTAAACCCAGTCACCGAGTTCCCTTTGGTCAGAAACTTCTGCTGGCCTGACCTGGCCTGGCCTCTCCAAGGGACAGACTAGCCTTTTGGCTAGCAAGACTGCAGGCCCCTGAAATCAGCAGGGTGGAGAGAAGTCATTCAGAGGAGAGACCTGACCGCATCAACAGCCAGGGAGTCACAGCTCCCCGTGAAGACCTCATTTGTCACTTGGTTCAACCTGGGCAGAGAAAGAAGAGGACAAGGAGGAGGTGGGGAGGAGAGTGAACACCAGATCTCAGCTAGCACTGCTCAGAGATCCCTTCCCCTCCACTGCAGACCTGGCAGCAGCAGCAGCTGGATTGCAAAGAGTATTTCTGCACAATAAAAGCAAATTTTACACTGGAGCGTGGCAGGGGCAGAGGCCTGGCTGTGTGCACATATGAGCTTTTCTAGGGATATGTATACAAAGGCTCACATGGGCCAGAACATCATCTTTCCAAGTCAAGCATGGGTGGGCTGCCTGGCAGCACAGGCAGACATGCTGCACACAGCACAAGTGCAGCCATCCTGGGTAGTCTCTGAGGTGCTGGGCAAGAGAAGCCACATAAAGACGTGTTAAGTCACTGCATCTGTAATGCTTCCCACTTGCTTTTGAGTTTGTGGGAAAGCCAACGTGCCTGGACCACCAGGACTGCCAGCTGTGCAGGGAGGACTGTGAGACAAAGGGCTGCCCCAAGCCATGACTCTGAAAGGTTCCTGGGAATGGGAGGGCCACTTTCTCTTCGGCTGGAAAAAAATCAAAGCTCCTAGCTTAGGGCATTAAGCTCAATGGTGACACCAGTGGAGACACAAAGGGGTTTCTTTTTCCCTTCAGAGAAGGTGGGAAAGAGAAATAGAGGCCAGACCCTTAAAAAAATTAATGAGAAAGAAACAAAGAACCTCAAATCTGATTCTGTCTGCCCAGTTCCACTCCAGTTCATGGTTGGCATGGTTTGTTCTCTGCCATGTGGTAGGATTTAGCTCCTATTTACAGATGAGCTAATCAGTCCCCCTCAGCTCTTGAAGCTTTATCAATGCAAGTTAATCATGTTACTGATGTTTGCCCAGGCCAGGGCTCTCCACTTTTGTCCTCTGCCAACAATGCGACACAAATGCATGCCACACGCACATAGGGGTAATTTTTTTCCCCCTCTCAATTCCACCAGCAAGAGGATGTCACCAGTGGCTATTGTGCCAAAATGTGGGTGCTGCCCAGCTCTGTTTCACCCCTTTGCTACCCTTTGTTCCTGGGCAGATGTTACCACATGTCCACCAACATCTCATAAAGGAGTAGGATGACCTCGACAGGCCAAGCTCACATTTCATTGTTAGCATAGGGGTGGCAACAGTGGGAAGAACTGGCCTGTGTTTCGGCAGGCCCAAATCCTGTGCTGGAAGGATGCTGAAGCCAAAAGCCATTTGAACCCAAATACCAGAGTGTGTGGTCCAGACCTCTGTCCCTGCTGCTGGGTTTGTTTTACTTCTACACCCCAATTTCACCAACTGCTGCTCTGTGATACAGTCTGTCCTGCTCGTCCTGTGGGCTGAACTGGGGGCTGTGCTCCTTCTCTCTGGAGTGGCTCTACCCACACAAACACACAGCCACCAAGTCAAGAGGATTGCCTTGTCCCACTGAGTTTCTGGGAGGCTCCTTCTGCCTTTATACCAATGATGGAAGGATCCAGGCATGAAGAGCTCTCTGGGATCCTCTCTGCTTCCTGGCAGGGTCACTTGAACTGACATTATCTGGTGGCCTGTGTTTGGGTGGTCACTGCTCAGGAGCACGCTTGGAGGTGGCTGGTGTTCACTGGACTGTTTCAGCAACCACTGCATCTGCCTGTAGGTATTGTCAGCCATGTCCCTCTATCCTGCAGACTTGTACTGGGGCTACAGCTTGAGTTCTCAGGGAGACTCTGCTGAGGCCAGGCTGCCAGCATCTGTTTTGCTGTCTGGGCTTGCTCAGTGTGGGGTAGCTTTGTCCTCAGAGTGGTTCTATACCAGCAACCTGACAAGGACCCCAGGCTGGGCCGTGACTTGGGCTGGTTCGGACTTGCAGCTCCAGGGTGGGCCAAAGAAGGGGCAGTCCCCAAATTAGCTATTCCAGAAAGGAAGGAGTTTCTCAAAAGCCTCTCCAAAACCTCCCCACCCTCTTCTTGCTCTGAAGAGAGATTTGTTTCTCTCTGGAGTTGCTGCAGGTCCCTCTGCCAGCCCAGCCAAGGAGACACTCCGGGGCTGCCCAGACGAGCAGACAGGACTGTAAAAAAGGTGCTGTGAAAGCAAAGAGGAGCAAAAGCCAGAGAGGCTCAATCTGAACTGAGCTGTACTGGCTGGCTTTCCACACAATCTCCCACTCCTCTCTGCAGATGAGCAGGCGGGCGACCTCAGCCGCACCGTGAGATACGATCACCCACCTATACAGACAATGTCCATGAAGCCGTACATTCCATAGCAGATCTGGAAGAGCAGGTCCTGGCGCTGCCATTTGGCTGAAGGACTGAATGTCGACCAGATGAGCCACGAGATACTGGCGATGAGGAAAAGGGAACCCAGGATGGCCGCTGCTATCTGAACCTTCTCAATGACTGTCAGAGAGATGGCCTGCCACTGCAAGGGGAAGCAATGGGGAGAGGAGAGGGGACAAGGGGAAGGGAGGAAGGAAAAAGAGAAGAGATTAGTTACTTGGGGCACATTGCTGTTTTACATCATTGCGGTGGTTTTGGAGATCTCGAAGTGCACTGATGAGCATAGGTGCTTTTACCTGGTCCACATCTGGGGTGGAGCATGGCAGTTGTTCAACAGTGCATGTCCCCATGTTTCCTGACAGCATTGCTGAAGAGGCAATGGGGAGGAATCCTGCAGCTCACCAGGAAAGCACAGAGACCTGAGGGAGGCAGGACGGACTGGGGACAAGACACCAAAAATACCCCATGACAGTAGGTCTGCGATGGCCATCACAAACCAGAATATTCAGTTGCTACCTTAAATAGAGGCCAGGCAGCATCCTCGGCCAGGGCATCCTATTACCATGAGAAGAAGTGTCTCAGAGAGCCAAGCTTTCCTTCAGAGGCCTCCCATGCGCTGGCTCTGTGCCACTTTGTGAGATCTGACAGGATCACAGCACTAGGTAGGATCTCGCAGCGGCAATGCACATCCCACAAAACTTGTTACAAACAACACAAGTTGCTGTGGTCAGGACACCCTGCCTTTAGGTGATGACATGTTCAGGCTGTGTTCCAAGGTAAACGTCAATGCTTCTTCCTCAGAGAAGAAAAAAATAGAAAGAACTCCCCCAAATCCATTCACTATGTCAAATAGCTTTGTATAAGCTACGGTATAAATATCCTAAGCCCAGACTCCTCTCTGTCATCCAGCATAAAACCTCCCCACTCAGATTTACACTGCTGAGAGAACTGCCCTGTAAAAACCAAGAGCAGAAATTGCTTTCTTTATCGAGACTTGCAGACATGGTCCGTAGCCCTTCCTGCAAATCAGAAATCAAATGCATAAACAGGCTGGGGAGAGACAGTCTCTCCTGGCATCGAAGTATATAGGCCACCTTTAGCTGTGAGATACATGCCCTTGAAATCTCAGTGGGACTGGCAGAAGGATAAATAAAGGTGGACTTCAACCTCCTGCAAGTATAGAGGATTCAGAGAAACTGAAAACGTTTAGCCTGGATTCAGCCCAAATTCAGTGTCCCTGTGAAGTGGCAGCTCTGGCGAGTCCTCAGCACCCTGCACGTTTGTCAAACAGAACCTGGGACAGCAGAGTCACCTGTCAAACTTTGTTCCATCCTTTTGCAGAGCAAGAAGGGAGTTCAGTTGCGGGGCCCTTCTTTACACTGCCCAGGCCAGCCAGCAGTTACCAGAGTTTTGTGTGAGGTAGGGAGGACTGACCAAAAGGCAAGAAGGACAACAGGTGACTTTTGTGCTGGTACAGGCATGCATGACATTGCATGTACCAGTACAACGACCAAACCCTTGAACCAAACGCCCTCCCCTGCAAAGGGCTGCCTTTGGAAGAGGAACAGACGACAGCTTCAGCCTGAGGCTGGGGTCTGCAGGTTGCAACTGCTAGGAGACTGCCTGGCTTGGCTCAGAGGTGAGCTGAAGTGTCTGCCTCTGCCAGCCTTGCTCCTTGGCTTACATCTTGCAAGGGCAGACAGCTCTCAAATTGTATGCCAGTGATGTGTAGCATCAGCGAGGTGAGTGGTACCAGCTTATTTCGTAGTTTGCCACAGAGTAGATGGCCATAAAGCTGCTGAGCAGAGAGAGAACTTGTTCCCTGCTGAAGCAGGACTGGGCTCAGCTAACCCAAATTTCCTTCCTGGGCTCAGCTAACCCCAGTTTCCTTCCTGGGCCCAGCTAATCCAAACCCCCTTCCTGCCATCCGCTCCAGCAGCTGGCCCAGTCAAAGGAAAACACTGAACACTGGGGACACTCAACGATCTCTTCAACATCCCGTTCCCACTCTGCCATAGCCCAGCCTGCTCCACTCCTCCACCAAATCCAGCCATACAAGTGGCCCCCTTGTGCCAAGAAGAAGAGCCCTCGTCTTAGCATTGGAAGCTTGGCGGTGCCAGTCGCAATGGATCAAGGCTAGATGCAGGGGCGCTGGAGGCCACAGGAGATGCACAGCTGTGCAACTCCTCTCCCGACATAAGACAGAGCAAAGGCCACACAGCACCCATCGCCCCCAAATTTAGGTTCTGAGGGTGGGATCAGCAGCTATGCTCTCCTCTCGTCAGCTCTTCAGCTTTGGTCTCAACAGCACCATAAGCAGATGCAGGACAAATCTGCAATAGCTGACATCAGCCCAGAGCTCCAGGATGAAAGGCATGTGGTGGGGAGGGGGTTTGAGTATGCATGAGGTTGCATTTTCCCCCCTGCAGCTTTCCCCAGACCTCATCTCCTCTTCCACTAACTCTGGCGAACACCAAAGGGACAGGAGTGTGGAGAGCCTGGTGCACAGCCTGGTGCTGCATGCAAAGGTTTTACTGCAGGTCCCTCATGCTGACCCGTGTGTGCCTGTGCCAGCCAAATCATTCTGCATCATTTCTCTCTCCCGAGGAGGTAATGGACTGGCTCCTCACCATCTGTCTGGCACACTGCAAGGCCTGTGGTGGCAACAGGTCCTTCCAAGGTAGCAATTAAAGACAGAAAAAGAAGAAGGAGCAGCCACATAAAACCAGCACCCCTGTTTTGCAGAGACAGGGTGGCTTAGGTGTAGTACTAAATACACTGTCAAAGGGGATGGGGCTCAGAGCACAGAGAAGTTATGCCTGAGTGCAGACTTCAAACCCTGCTCCCTTTGGTTGGGAGCGGAGAGGCTGAAACACAGACAAGGATGCTGCCTGATGCTGCTCAGCTATCAGCAGCTGCCGGGAAGCTCGCTGTGGTGATAATGAAGAGGCTGGAGTCTGTCAGCCGTGCCAGGGGGTAGGAGACTCTCCCCCGGCATCTGGCACTAAGTGACAGTGACACACGCAGCAGCAGTCCTGACTCTGTTCAGGAGGTGGCACTGGGGTGTGATTACCCTCTGGCAAGGAGGTAAATGGGTCAGAGCTGAACACTGGGGAAAATAACCAGCTTGCAGAAGAATTTAATATTTTCCAGAAAAAAAAAAGTAATAAATGTTTTATTTCCTCTCTGGCAACCCTGAGAACTGCAATTTAGCATCCCACATCTAGCCTGAGCCACTACTAGCCAGAGTTATTATTTTTCATCTTTTAATTCCATTTTGCTACACCTCTTAGGGTATGAGGTTTGCGCAGAGAGAAGAAAAGGGGAGAGGCAGAGGATAAAGCATGTTACGCAGTGAGGGCACAGAGAGAAGGTTCCAAGAGCTGTTCAGAAGTGGAACGTGCTGATGAATTTCAGCTGCAGGAGCCTGGCCTGATGCATCCCTGCACTGGTGGCCTCAGAAGCCCACCTCAATCATAGCACTGAGCCTTTCAGATTTCGTAACAGCCCTTAGAAAATCACTCGTTTTCCTAACCCCTCTCCACTGTCATTAAGGCCAGCACACCAGGGATTTGGCAGGGTGACCCTGTTGTCCTTGGGTCACAGCTAGAGCTGCAAAGAAGGTTCTCAGCAACGCTGCAGAGTCCCTTTACCAGCACATCTGAAACCCCCAAAACTCTTTGTCTGACTGCCTGGCTGCAGACACAGCCCCCTCCTTCCAAATCTCCAGCTCAAAAGTTCAAGCTCTAGCAAGGTCATAGTGTCAAGCAATCCCATCTTGTGGGGAGAGACCTAAAACCGAGCCCTTCTTTCCTCAGCTCATAATGACTGTTGAGTCCCAGGTAGCTGCTGAACTGTACTGAACTACACCTTTAACAACTGACAGCTCACCCAGGTTGTCAATCAATCAGAAATGTGACCTTTAGGCAGGTAGAAAGCTCTACAGATGCTCTGCCAGCACTGAACAGGGCAGAACTAAGAACTTGGTGGTATCAGAAAACTTTAAAGGCTCCTGCAGGACAACAAGAGCAGGTTTGTGAGCTCCGGGCTTACAACGGCTTCAGAGCACGCCCAAGCAGCTCTTTGTGATGGTTCACCACCCGTGCTGGAAAAAGGGCTCCGTCCTTCTAGACCATTCTGAAAAAATGTCCTCATTCACTCAGGAGCTGTCTGTCTGTCCTCTGCTACCTTCCCCCTTGGCCGAGTGCTTCGGCACACAGCCCAGATGTGCAGGCGCAAAACACCACGCTCTCTTGGATTGATTTTGCCCAAGTTTCCCCATTTTCCGCAAATCGCAAAGCTCTGCAACCCAGATGCCTCAGAAAGGGTTTCTTAGGAGCCCAGGTCTGACATTGGCAATGACCTTAGCCAGGGGCCAAGCTGGGACCAGTGCCTGCCAGTCACGTCACTCTTGTTCTCTCGCACTGTTTCATAGCCTACGTGCTGTACTTGGGACAAACCTGTTTCTCTGTTTGCTTCAGTGCTTCTGCTCAGAGGCCTGTGAATGAAAACTCCCGCTGCTAATGTAACACAGATTAATAATGTCATTACTATAGTATTTAAGGCCTGATGATACATATCTCCCTTTCTTTGGCACCAGCAGTCTCCAAAGGTTCCGAAGCACCAGCATGAGCAGATCCGAGGCAGATATTTGCCTGCAGAAGATTTCTATGCCGTACTGCAGCAGCTCGCAAAGAAGACTTGCTTGCTGGAAAAGCCTTCCTGCACTCCTCTGAGAGCTCTCCCATGCCTGCCTCAGGCAGTTCAGTTTATTTTTATTGCTGTATCTGACACGTCCCCTTAGTACGTATCATTAACATCCTGAGCTGTACTAGTCAGCAATTTAATTTTCAGACCCAGGATCACAAGCAAGCAAAGGTTTTTCTGACAAGGCTGGAGTGGACCGTTCCTAGCACTGCTTAGGTCTGGCTCTTCCCTCACTGCTGTCCCAAGGCCCTGGCCATATTCCTCAGTTATCTTTTGGAGCGTGGCTTTTCTTTTCATAAATTCACCAAGCGAAGTTATGCCACCATTGTGATAGCTTCCCTGCTGTACATTTACAGATGCTGTGGCTTATTCAGACACTGGAAAGGCAGCAGGGAGGAAGGAAAGTCCACTAACGTAATGGAAATGTGCAGTGATGAAACTGCCTCTCCTCCATGTGCCAGAGTATCTGGTAAGACTCAGGCTACAGTATCGGTATCCTAGAAAGCCCCCATTATAAGGCACAAGCCATGAATTCTCTCTTGCTGTGATTGCACCTATTGCTTGCAGCCTGCAGGCTGCAGCTGGAGCTCAGCAGGGGCCAGCCAAAGCTCATACTCAACATAAGCGATTCAGCAACTTGGGACAACCAAGAGACACCAGCGAACTTGCCTCAAGCTTTTTAGCTCAGGAGCTCAGGCTGAAGTTCAAACACCCTGGGACCTCTGCCATTTTTCTTGCAGATGGGGATGTCCTGATGAAGAGGCCATATAAATAAATACTCATCAGCTCTTAACAGAGCATCACCACAATCAAAATAGAGCCAGAAGAGAACAACCCCAGCACTGGATAACGCAAGATATTTGGAGCTGAAACAACCCACAATACAGGAAGAGTCAGAGATAAAAACTGTAAAGCCGAGTTGGACTCCCTGAGACTGCAGACGGCTGTACATCTGGGAAGGCTGGTTCAAACAGATTATCTATTTGCTAAAATCAGAGCATCAGAGTGGATGTGGCTCAGGAGCAGCTACAAAGAAGCTGTACAGATGATATACACTGCAGAGTCCCATCATGGCAAATACTTACTCCAGTATGTATCAGCACCAGGGTGCCTGCAGTACTATGACATGCTTCTAAAACCCTGTGTCTTCAAGGCCTTTTTAAAATCATGGGCTTTCCACAAATATTGCAATGGAGAGGAGCATTTAAAGCCTCCATGCCCATGAGTCCTGTCTCGGTGACTGGCAGATTGGAGAGCAGGAGGATGTACGGATAGATGGATGGATGGACAAAAGCTCTAGATCTTCTTTTTGCTCACAGCTGGTGGGATGTTTTTGCTTATTTGCTGTCTGACTGCTGCTTGGCAGGGCATCTACCGTGTTGTCCAACAACTTTAATCTCCCTGTCTCATGGGTTTGCAGTGTCATTGCTTTAAGACCTTTGCCCTTAAATGCTTGCAATCCAGGGATGGAGGGGGTGTTAATTTATAGAGATTAATTCTGCCAAAATACCAGACTAAAGGCTTCTCTCTGGTGTAAGACATCATAATAGCCTGGAGCCTGGAAGGAGTCTGTGTTAATTATGCATGAACCATGTTCCCCTCACTGTAACTTCTCTGCCCATGCCATGAGTCTCCACACACATCTGGCCTATGTTGTGCTCCTAGGCACTCCAAAAAATGTGCAGCAGATGTCAAAATGGGCAGAGAAACATGCAGATCCTGGGGAACATGTGGGTGTCAGGTGTGCTGCTCTGCTCGGACCAATTCGACATGCTTCAGGGAGCCCAGGGCCTGCCAGCAGCCTGGGTTTGGCTTTCCAGTGGTCTGTCACATTAAAGGACACAGGGCATAGGTAGGTCATGTTGCTGGTTAAAATCTAGCCAGGCTCAGAGCATCACCCAAACAAGTTTCATTTGACAAGAAGGTGAGGTTTGCATGGCCCTTGTATGTATTACGGTTGGTCTGGAATAGAGACAACCATTACTTCCTACAGCATTTGCCCTCCAAAACCTGTGCTTGAGAAATTCAGAGCTTTCTAGTAAGAAAAAAGGTGGGCAGAAGTTCCAGCAGACCCTGTGAAGAAAAGCCAGGGACTATTGCTTTACTTAGAGACATACTTGTATGTCCAGTCGGCCCCTGTTATCCATGCGTGGGGTGAAGAACGAGCAGAAAGGATGCTCTTCCCACTGCGCACACTGTGACATGCTGTTATGGCACAGAGCGTCAGGGCATCACAGCCCCTGGATCCTCTCTGCCTCCCCAGACCTTGTTCATCAGCAACTTCCCATGGGATTTCACATACTAGTGCTAGTGTAGCATCTGCTTCCCAGAAGTGCCTTTGTGCTGGCACCAGGCAGGGTGCCCGGGCACACAGCTGTACCTCCACACATGCTGCATTTATTTCAGATCAAGTGGCTTTTCACTCCAGTTGCTTCTTCCCACCCTCCAAATCTGCCAGTGCTTCTGTGAGAAGCGCTGTGAAGTCTAAGCCAGCAATGTGAAGCCTCTGAGCCCGGGGTCTGCACGGTCCTTTGGGACCCTCGCTCCCAGAGCTGAGCTCTGTAACTCAGTTGCTCCTGCCACTCAGTTTTTGTGTTCGTGGCAAAGGCCAGCAGATCAGGCCACATTCTAGCAGGGGAGCCTAGAAAGAGCAACGTTTTGCGCAGGCTTTTGAAACTTGTGTGTGGGAGGGTACCTTGTTTGTGAATAGCTCCAACAAATTTTAGCCGAGTGAGGAGCCAGAGGAAAGTCACTGATCCATTGCCCTAAGCCACCTGAAGGTGTACAGCATGTGGAGGTCATTCATTAAAGGCAATGCTGGCTGCATACACACTCGCAAATCTGCACCCACAAACCTTCAATGCTGCTCAGCATTGCAGCCCTGATTTCAGACACAGGAAGCATTAGGACGCTCATGGACCAGATTTCCAGAAATAAACAAATGCTGCTTTGTCCACATCTCCCCTCCTGTGTTTCAATCTGCTCCAAGTTACTAAAGCCAAGAAATTAACACACGCTGGGGCTGGGGCTTGGGATGAAACTACCGATCTCTCCAGCCCATGGTACATGGAAAATTGAATCAGTAGCTGTACCAACTTGCAGAGAGCAGGCAGTCTTTTTCCTTCCCCCCAGCAAAATTTCCTCACAGTGCCCCAGTAATTTTACTACTTCATTTAAGTTTGGAATCTTAAAGGGCTGTCCCTGTTTCCTCACTGTGGTTAGTGACCTGAGGCCTGGAAAAAGCCACACAGAGACTGCAGTTTGGAGGAGAGAGCAGGAGTTTGCATTCCCTGCCATCTCCATACAACTGGGCACGATCACCAGCAAAGTCCTTGCCTCCTGTTAGAGAGCAGAGCGACCAGCAGAGAGCCGAAGCCCTCCACCGGGTTCTGGACAGACCTTAACAGACATCGCCCTGGTCTCTAAACCACAGCACGCTACTGTAATGTCTCACCAGTCCAGATGATGCTAATTAAGCAGTAGTGCCTGGATATAATGTGCTTCCTTACATCTGAGGTACTAATGGTGCCCAGCAAAGGCATGCAGCAGTTAGTCCATCTTCAGGTGTTGCCCCCGCAATAAATCAATAGCTATTAAGGATAATTCATCCCATTTTTAACAGTCACACAGTTTTCCCCATTATGAATCTTGATTTTAAATTACCAGCCTGCAATGGGGCTTATTAAACCACAATGCTTTTGAACTCAGAAGAGAAAGAATGTTGGTTCTCTTATGACTTTCACAGCCACTTACATCAAGTTGTGCTTTACCTGTTGTGTGCATATCTGCAAACATCCACTGAGAATCAGGCTTAGAGAGACCAGAGCATCAGAGCCAACACCCCTTGGGCCATGCCAGGATGTATTTGATCATGGGGGAGCAGTAAAGTGAAAAGGCTGGCAGATCAGAGAGGAGAGCTGTAGGAGCCCTCCATCTGCCTCCTCCATCCCTCATGCACAGAGGAGGCTCAGCAGGAGGAGATCGGGGTTAATGGCACAATAACACATGGAGTCTCAGGATACTGCTGTGTCACAGACTGCATGCTCTGTTGTAGCAAATCCCACAACTGCTCCACCTCCACCTGCCCCTGGGGACAGTGGCATACCTGTGGTCTCCAGTGGATGAACACATTTGATGGTCTGTGAGGTGTTACAGCACTATCGTGGTCACACTAGCATTTTCAACAGGAGGCAAGTGAACATCGCAACTGTTGAAGGACAGAAAGAGCAGACTCCTGGGGGATGCCCCTGGTACCACTGTGCAGAAGATGGGGCCTTTTTGGACCAGTCCCCGACAACCCTTTCTAAGCATCTCACAGTGTGCAGGGAAGAAAAACCCACGCAGGTAAAATCCACTTGCTCCCAGAAACAAAAATAGAAACAAGAATAAATAGACTTTGAAATGTCTCTAGTACCTTTACCTGCAGAGGGTTCTTTGTGCTTATGGCAATGACGTGATACTTGTAGTAACACAGCTCACAGCTCCAGCAGCCTCTCTCGCTAATCCATTTGATCAGGCATGGCTGGTGTGTGCACTTCACTGATCCATCACATCGACACGGGCTCAGCAACTCCCCCTGAAAAAGACAGACAGCATCAGCAAGGCTCCCCTCCTCCCACAGGCACAGCACAGCGCGGCATGGCATGGCAGAAGCTCCATCATCCACCCATTTGCTCTTTGTTCCTTTTTACCTGCTTTGGCTTAAGTAATTGTGCTGCCTCCATCTGTTTTCTCTCTAATAATTCTTGGCTGATGCAAACAGAATTTGACAGAGATGTAACGGTCTCAGATGCTTGGGTCCTACATTTTTTTTTGTGGAAAGAGACAGGTAGGTAGATAAGAGATGTCCAATATCACTGCTGAAGGAAAAACTAGATGAGCACAACTCTTACCGGACACCAGAGGACCCACACTAGACCACAACCAGTGGACCCAGCTCTGTTGACAACCAGATGCCACTGTTTCACTGCTCAGGTTTCTGCCTCTCTGCTTCCTATTTCAGAAAGTGAGGCTAGTGGAGGGGACAGCTGTGAAACAGCCTCTGCTGCAGGCTGGTGTCCCACTCAAGCCCA